CGCCGTATCATATGCATAGACCTGGTACAATAAAACACAATTTTAATTTTTTTTTGGTTTTCCCTTCAAGAGCAATTGAAATGTATGAAAATTTTGCTTTCGCTCAAATGACGAGAAATATTTTCTGTTCCCAATTGCTCTGTTCTTTCAAGGACCGTTCAATTTTGTGAGTCGCTTAAAAAAGTCATTTTTGGGTGTATATGAAAGTTAGTGGGTCTTGTTTCATTTGCCTTTGTAACATTTGGATATTCAGAGAAAATAATTAAAACGAAAATGGGACGGGAAATAAACAAAATTAGAACGACGATGTACTACATTTTTAAACAAATGTAAGGCTAAAATCGACAAACTTGAGTGCGCTTGCACATCCGCTTGCTTAACTTTTAATAATAATAAATATACCATAAAAAATTATTTTAAAAAAAATTACACTTTTTACACTGTAATTTAAGGGGGGAAATACAATTAAAAATTTATTTTTTTTGGAAAATTTTTTTTTGTCTTAATGTACTCTAAATATATCTGAGAATAAGCCTTTAAAAGCATAAAGCTGTCCGGTACTTATTTTCAAAGTAATACGCAATTTAGTGAGTGCGTGTCAGTGGTAAACTTTAGTGAGTGGTAAACTTTAAACGCTTCTACTGAAAAGTCGTGTTTTCAAAGTCGCCGTGCAATGTACAGGTCAGAGATTTCATTTAAATCGAATGCGGTTTTTTGCTTTATGTTTGAAATGAAATTCTCCTGAATTATTCTTTAATTCTGAATTCTGAATTAAAGGATTTTTCATATTTATTTGTTATAACATGTTTTTTTGACGAACAAAGTCGAAAAAAAGTGTTTTTTTTTAAACATTCTTTTCAATTTCAAATTTTTTCATGGAAAAACCATTTTTTTACATATGAAATAATTCATGTTGTGCGCTGTACCTCTAAGTTTAGTGCCCAGTTGCTGTTTTTTGTTTTAGACGTGATCCTGGGCCTGGAGACTGCACGGCGCAAAGTTTATCCCCCAAAACACGACTCCACATTATTGATCATAAATGGGCTTAATTACAATATTTTTCGAAAAACTTGACTGATTTTCATTGCCCAATAATTTCCTAATAACATGCAAAAAGAATCGCTAAGATTCATTCAATTCCCTACTTGCATTTCACTCCCAAAGATAGGCCTCATTTTAGGCCTTTTAATTGTATTTCCCCCCTTAAGATGCGAGACCAGCTGAAAATCATCACTATTAACTATGGATAAGCTCAACACTTTACCATCGCATTCGAAATGTGTTATGATTAATTTTAAAAATTAATTTTTTTTGGTGGTATTTAATAGGTTTCGTATACAAATAAGTGAAACAATTTTTGCAATTTCCATTGCTATTGATTTTTAAATTCGACAGAAAACTGAGTTTTCATTTGTAAGAGTAAAATACGCAAAAGAATAATTTTTATATTTTTTTTGCTAAATTTGGCACATAAATTATCATGACAACCAAGTGTGTAAACCATCCGAATGATGTACCTCTTTTGCAAATCGTGAAAATATATTAGGTGTACAAGTAGAAAACCTCCGTTTTCGACTAGGTGGTGCCAAATGACGAGCTAAAGAATCGGTCAACAACCCTACATTGTCTCGTTCGTGTATTCTTATTGTTCATCATTTTTTTGGTGCACGAAAATGTCGAAATTCGAACCGAATAAGCGTCATTTTCGGAAGATTTTTCATTTCGCGTTCAATTCGAAAAAATCGGCAGCTGAAGCGCGTCAAATGATCGTAGAAACTTATGATGAGTCGTCCATACAACTCCCCCCCGTACAGGCCCGATGAGAGGGGGGGTCAGCCCAAATCAAAATAAGAGGACGAGTGGGATTTGGGGGAGGAGTTTGTTATCTCGAGTGAACAATTTTTTACGTTATACCACTAACCATACAGCATATAGACAACCCATTTCATACAACGAAAATGGACGCGAAAATTTCTTGCTACAGGCCCCAGCAGGCCCCAGAGCGGATTTCTTACGCTCTCTTACGCTCATCGTTCGTTCATCTTACGCTCATTCTCGCATTAAATGTTTTCTGTTTCTCAGTCTCTAAACGGAGCGCGATGAAGAAGGTTGGCCTGCGCTTCGGTTGATCTTTGTATGTATGCGTGTCACACATTCACATACATGGGTGTATGTGTGCGTGCGATTTCGTTTCGAAGCCAGCGCACAAAATTTTGATTTTTCTTACTTTTAAGGCTTGCTACCCTAACAAAATTCGGGTATTCGTTATTTGATGAAATGACGAAAGAAATTATATTATTTTGTATATTATATTTTTTATTATTTCAGCATACATTTTTAATTTATTTAGGAATAAGATTAAGTGTTAGTAGTAAAATGTTTTCTGTATATATATTTTTACGAATCATTAAAAATCAATATACTGAGAAAGTGTCAGAGTATATTTCGGTCGGAGTCACTTAAAGCGCCGTTTGCTTTTAAGTTTTGTTGTTCTGCAAGAGGCTTGTGCATGCCTACTCTAACGATGGAATGATTTTTAGGGGAGGGTGAAGACGGGTGAAGAATTAAATTACTTTTTAAAGTTATTATATATAAGGAAATATATATAAGGAAATTATTAAATTAACGACAATAATTTAATTAAATCTCACAATAACCCAAAATATAATAACAAGTGCCTGAAAAATTGTAAACAAAAAAGGTAAACAAGTCCATCAGCTGTTTTCGTGTCTTCACCCCCCCTAAAAATCATTCCATCGTTAGAGTAGGCATGCACAAGCCTCTTGCAGAACAACAAAAACTTAAAAGCAATCGGCGCTTTAAGTGACTCCGACCGAAATATACTCTGACACTTTCTCAGTATATTGATTTTTAATGATTCGTAAAAATATATATACAGAAAACATTTTACTACTAACACTTAATCTTATTCCTAAATAAATTAAAAATGTATGCTGAAATAATAAAAAAAATAAAATAAAAATAATATAATTTCTTTCGTCATTTCATCAAATAACGAATACCCGAATTTTGTTAGGGTAGCAAGCCTTAAAAGTAAGAAAAATCAAAATTTTGTGCGCTGGCTTCGAAACGAAATCGCACGCACACATACACCCATGTATGTGAATGTGTGACACGCATACATACAAAGATCAACCGAAGCGCAGGCCAACCTTCTTCATCGCGCTCCGTTTAGAGACTGAGAAACAGAAAACATTTATTGCGAGAATGAGCGTAAGATGAACGAACGATGAGCGTAAGAGAGCGTAAGAAATCCGCTCTGGGGCCTGCTGGGGCCTGTCGCAAGAAATTTTCGCGTCCATTTTCGTTGTATGAAATGGGTTGTCTATATGCTGTATGGTTAGTGGTTATACGTTGGGCCAAAATCGTTTGAAAAGTCTTGGAACATTAGCGCTGGACTCTGGCCCAAAAAGCCCGAAAGGTTTTCTTCGACTGATTCGATTTTTCGTCACGTATAAGTAAGCTTCATAACTTCAAATAACCCAAAGAAAATAAACACTCAATCTGAAGTCACCAAAAAAAAAAATATACATATCGGCTATTCCGGATGGATGGCGGATGGTCAACCAGGACCGATAAAATAAATGTCCATATTCCTCGATTCTTTTTTTGTATTTTCATAAATACATATCAAAATTTTCATAGTCTATTGGATTCATAGCATATCTCAGTTTTTTTTTTTTTTTTTTTAAATCGTACGCGATCGTACGTTCGCGACTCAAAACATAATTTTATTGTAATTGCTTCGATGAAACTTCATGTGTTAAGTCATTTTAGTGTAAACTATTAAAATTTAAAAAAAAATCACGACTTTTTCAAGTAAATTTTTTTATATTGAATTTTAAAGTTGCGTACGTTTGCGACCGTATGTATGACGTACGTATAAAAAGTAATATTATTTTTTTTTTGTTTAACAAGCTTATCAATAGTTGTAGATGGATAAAAGAAGTGACAATAGATATTAAATTAAATTAAAATTAAACATAATTTAAAAATTTAATTTTTTATTAAAAAAAAAAAAAAATTGGTGAAACATGATTTTTTATGAAAATATAAATTTATTTATAAAAACAAAGAGGTAAAAAAAAAAAAAAAATTTATATGTGAAAAAGTTTTACGTTCGCGACCCATACGTTCGCGACCCGTACTTAATTTAATTTAAAAAAAAAACTAATGGAGATAGGCAATTCAGAATAGATTCGATAGAAAGCTACATGCTTTCTAAGCTACAAGCTCTATTTTAAAAGTAAAGTTATTGCATTAAAATATTCCATTCCAATTCGCAGATTTATTGATTTTGCTAGAGCAAGCCAAAACCGACTTCCATTTCGCGTACGTTCGCGACCTCATGTTTTTTGCCAATATTATGAAAATGAAAAATCCATTAGAACCATAATTTACACTAAGAAAAGAACTCACCAAATGCTATCGGAAACAAAAGAAAAAAGTTTCAGAAATTGTTTTTTTTCTTTAATTTTTTGGCACTTATTGCGTACGAACGTACGTTCGCAACCCCAGGAAATTCTCATATGTATGTATCTCATAGTCAATTCTGCCGATTTGACTCGAATAATTACGTTTTTGTAATTTCCCTGGATTAAATTCATATCGTACATATATGTATATGAGGGGCCCGTGACCGTCTGCACCGGGGCCCGGTTTGGCAATGGATGGCCCTAACACCGTAGTCAGATGGAAAAAAAATACTAGAAATTTACATAGGTATGCCAGCCCGTACCAAGAACGTTTCTCAAATCCCTAGCGAAAAGATTAAAAATTTTAATATTATCATCCTATCTGACAGGGTCAGTGATATACTTGCAAAACATTGTTGGGGCTTATTTGGTTATATTAATGTACAAAATCTGTTAATGCATGTCAAATATGATTTTTGATCTAAGTACTAGTCTATATCGGACTCTTCATTTCACTTATTCCATTCAACATCATTGAATCGATGTTATATTGACAGCCTTGAGTAGGACCATAAATATTTCAAACTTGGTCATACTGTATTACATATTGCAATTCCGGCCATTTATATAATAAATAATGATACGCGGTGTTATTTTAAAATTAAGAGACACAGGGTATGAATATTATTATTATTATCAATTTTCAGTTTTTAAAATAATTTTTTCTACGACAGCCTAATGAGGCTAAGTGGTTCCATTGCTGTTCAAGTCCGCGGTAAGGGCCATTTAAATCGTCCTCGAATTAAAAATCCCCACTGGTTTCTGCGCCAAAAACTCTCAGTAAGTTTTAGAGATCAAACTAATAATATCATTATATTCATAAGTAGTATTGCATGTAATTTTTACTGAAATTGAGATACTTCAACTCAAGTTCTAATAAAATATCCCAAAATTCTCTCACTAATTCACTCTCACCTTTGGTTTGCTGCCTTCGTACACACCTCTGATATATATTCTTTATCAGAATCAACAGCCGATTCGGTATAGTCATGTCCGTCTGTCCTTATGACGTGGATCTGAGAGGCTATAAGAGATTCGGAGACTCCTATAATACTCACGCAGTTCAAGTTTGTTTCAAATTTTTGCCACGCTTCCTCCCCCCCACAAATTGAGATCTTCTGTAGCGCTGTACTGGCGGAAGGTTTTTTTTTTTAAACTTTGCAAATTGGCCGATTTTTAGAGGATATATAGACATATGTACATATTGGACTATATAAACATATATTAGAGGGTATAATAACATTGTCCAAAAGTGTGCAACGCAGTGAAGGAGACATCTCCGACCCTTTAAAGCAGGGGTGGGCAAGCCCATGGCTCCTCGGGCTCGCAAGGCTCCCCCCGTTATTCGTAATTTTTGGCGCCAGCAAATCGGGCCAGACGATCGAGTCGCGCGGTCAGTGAGCCGTGAAGATTTACAAAAACAATGCTACACAAATTCCGAGGCAGGTAGCGGGCCCGACCCCGCGGTCCCGAGTTTGCAACAACAATTATTAAGGGTCCGTTTGCGCACAAAGCGACGACAACCATCGCGAGGGTGGTGGTTGTTGTTGTAATTTGTTGTTTGGCCGAGCTGTGGCTCCGACCGTTAGATTTCGTGCCCACCACTGCTTTAAAGTATATATATGTATATTCTTGATCAGGATCACCTCCTGAGTTGATATGAGCATGACCGTCTGTCTGTTTCTACGCAAACTAGTCTCTCAGTCTTAAAGCTATCGATTTGAAACTTTGAACACACGCTTCTCTCCTTTGCAGTATATAAGTCGGAACGGCCGGGATCGGCCGACTATATCCTATAGCTGCCATAGTACTGATTGATCGGAAATGGTATAACTTTGGTGTTTTTAAAGTTAAGCATAGTACTGCGTTGACGAAAATCCGCTGACCAACGAGTGACAGCTGTCAAACTCCATATAAAAAAAACGGTGTAAAAAAAGGAAGAGGAAGAAATTTTTGCCTTCTAGATTTTGCGGGTACTGAGTTGACGAAAATTTTTGTTATCGATATTAATCGTGTTGCCGGATCAAAAAAAATAAACAGCTGCTCTCGGGGAGTTAAAAGAAATATTTTCATTTATTTCTATAGGTGTGACATGGAATTGATCAAACAAAAGAATAGTCGGCCCGAAAAATTTTCGACGCGCCAGGACAAATTAAAATTAATTTCTGCGGTCACGACGAAGCCCATAATATGGGATTTGACCCACAAGGAGCATTTTAATGCCATAAAATGGCATTGAAATGATTTGTGATTGATTTTGATTTTGACCCAGTTTGCTATTTCTTAATCAGCTCCTTAGCGGCGAAATACATAAACAAAACACCAAGTGCAAAATCGCTATCGGAATTTCAACAGCGGATTTTCGTCAACTCAGTACTATGCTTTAGAGAGTTCACGTTTTACACGAGAGCTATTTTTGGCAAAATAAAACGACATGCCAAATTTCATAGCTTTCCTCTTTTGTTAGTCTGCATTCCGTAGGGAATCCATCAAAGTTTAAACTTTAACTTCTTGTTATTTTGTAGGTGGAAAAGATGAGTGTCGGGTATAATATAGTCGCAAAACTCGACTAAAGCGGTCCTTTAGTCCGAAATGTGTTAAAAAATGTATACAACCAAATTTAAAATAATAGTTATTAATGTTAGTTTTTTTTCAGTTCCATTTGCACGCGACATTTTCTTCCATTTTCAATATTTCTTTTTGGTTTAGTTTTTTAAGACAGTAATGGTATAGGAAATTTACATTAACATTAGTTAGCCGTAATTATAGAATGTTTGGTTTCCTTTACATTTGGTTTTAAAATTTTTATATAACCCGAGCTTTCAAACAACTGTTAAACGATTTTTCAATGATGGAAAAATTATAGGAAAAAAAACACTAAAAGTACAAAATTCGAATTCCCCCTGACGGAAACACTTTTATTTTCAAACTGTTTCGGTCCGACAGAAGTTATTAACAGAACGGAAAATCGGTTTCTCTGTAATACTTTAGCAGAAAAGTTTTAATAACTGCTCCCTTCAAAAGTGACTTTCAATGACAACTTTGGTGTAAGTGTTCAACAAAAAAGGTACTTTCTAATATTACTTTGTGATAAAATTAAAAAAATGTATATCTTTGACTCAGAGAGACGCACTCACCCCTTAAATAAGGTTCTAGACCAGTGGTGGGCAAACTCTCATTTTACATAGCACGCGAGTATGGGGTAGGAAACTCTGCCGCAGCGCTGCCGGCACACTGACAGTATAAGCACGCTCACATTTTTTAGAATTTCTCTCACTTACTCTCGTGAGATGACAGGTGCTTGTAACTTTCACTCATTTGAAAGGCAAAATTTTTACCTATTTGACATAAAAATGAATTTAGTCGACGTTCAGACCTCACTGAAGCAAGACTACTTTGTTCATTATTGGGAAATCATAACTGAAAAAAATGTTTTCAGAAATTTGGGAGGAGCCATTTTTCTTTATAGAAAATATGGATGGAGAAGCGCAATGCTTAATTTGTTCAAGAATAATTTCTAGAAAAGATTATTTTAATATATTCGGTTTGACGATTTATTAGAGACTAAAAAAAAAATGCTGCACGCAGGCAGAACCAGAACTTAAAGAGAGAATGATAATTCGTTACTCTTTACTTTAGTGTATAACATAAGAGGAATAAGATATACAGTGGTGCATATACAAATATTTTCAACACTCCTTCTCACCGCGGTATATCTAATAAAAAAGATTCTTTTTTAGTTTAACCCTAGTGAAGTAATACATTTTGTGTGCTTAACTTTACATAGAGCTTTAGTTAGAACATCTGAAATCATATTTTCGGTTGGAACATATTCAATATCAATAACTTTCTTCTTATATAAATCTCTTATGAAATGATACTTGATATCTATATGTTTACTTCTAGCATGAAAACTCGCATTCTTCGCTAAACATTGGTCGCTCTGGTTGTCACTGTAGATCATCAATGTTGGCGCCGTCTCGAAACCCATCTCAGATATCAGCTTCAGCACGTAAGCTGCCTCCTTAGCTGCTGTTGAAAGCGCCACATACTCAGCCTCCGTGCTACTGAGTGCTATGATGCTCTGCTTCTTCGACTCCCACGAAAACGCTGCTCCAGCCAAAAAAAACGCCCAACCACTGAACGATTTGCGGTCAGAACAGTCACCTGCCCAGTCTGCATCCACAAAGCAGTGAACAGGCACACCAGTTCGATCAAAGTGCAGCTTCAAGCTCGAAGTTCCTCTTAGGTAACGAAGGACGCGTTTAGCGGCCACCTCATGTTCCTTATGGGGGTCACTGCACTTCTGAGCCAACTTTGCCACACAATGAACAATGTCCGGCCTCGTAGTCATTGCTAAGTACAGCAGTGATCCAATAAGCGATTGATACTGTTTCTGGTTGGCTCGTGGACAGTCTTCCAAAACACATAGGTTCTGATAACCAACCTCCAAAGGCGTTGCATTCGGCTTACAGTCTTCCATGCCATAATCTCGTAACAGCCCGTCGATATACTGCTTGTGGCCACACTGCCCGTCTCTCCATCCCGCTCGATCTCTATGCCTAAAAAATGTTTCAGCTCTCCGCCATCTACTACTTCGAATTCCCGTGCGATTTGAAGTTTTATGTCGACAAGGTCTTCTTTTATGGAACAGGCAATAATTAGATCATCGACATATACAACAATTATGTTAAATTTTTCGCCGCTGTTCTTGGTGTAAATGCATGGCTCACTGGGACATTGTACAAAACCAATACGCTGAAGAGTACTGTCCAATTTCTGGTTCCATTCACGCCCACTCTGCTTCAGACCGTATAAAGACTTGTGTAACTTCAACACCCTTTTTGGATACGCTGTGTCCACGAACCCTTCCGGTTGCCGCATGTAGACTACATCTTGTAGGTCGCTATTTAGATACGCAGCTGAGACGTCCATTTGATGCATAAACATTTTGTTCTCGACAGCCAGTGCGATCACCAATCGAATAGAAGAATACCGAGCCACTGGGGAAAATGTTTCTTTGTAGTTTATGCCGTACTCCTGTCCACAACCTTTTGCAACTAAGCGAGCCTTGAACCGTTCCACGTTGCCGTACTGGTCTCCTTTAGCCGCAAACACCCATTTGCATCCAATAGTTATCTCGCCAGGAGGAAGATTTACAAGACTCCATGTATTGGTGGACTGTAGTTGAGAATACTCCTTCTGCATCGCAACCTTCCATTCTTCAGCCTGTATCGAGCTCAAAGCCTCCTTGACTCCACTCGGTACTTGGACGTCGGCAACTCCAATAGCGTTAAGCATATTGTACTCCTTACGTGGTCGTCCTGGCTTTCCAGTACGAATTATCTTAGGCCTACCTGGGCCTCGCTGAACTCGTTCGATGCTATCAACCAACTCGTCTTCACCATCTTCGGCTCCCGACTGTCCGTCCCTTGCATGATCTGCGTCATTTCCATCGCGACCGCCATTTATCTCCTCACCAAAAACGCTTCCGTTTTCTGCCAATTCTACGGTCGATGTATCCTCGGTTTTTGTTATATCGTGCTCAAGGAACACCACATCTCTGGCTTCCTTGATAGTTTGCGTATCAGGATTGAAGAGTCTATAATCTTTGGCAGTTTCTGAATACACAACCAGGATATGCTCTATTCCTTTCTGAGAAAATTTTCTTTTCATTGTCTTGTCTAGCACAATTGCCTTTGTACCAAACGCCTTAAGATGGGATACGCTGGGCTTTTTCATGTCTGGCAATGTAGTCGTTTCTGATAGGTTCCTCAAAT